TTTTCAATTCTTCAAATCATTTTCTCGCTTCTTTTTATTTTTTTCTGGCCTGATTTTGGAAGAAAGAGCTAGCAGCCCGTGTCTGTTTGAGGTCTTGATAGAAATCCATAATCTAGTTTACTGTTCTTTATTTCTGACACTTGGGTATTTTTACTGCCTCCTACTATCTCAGATACACACTAAAAGCCATTAGTATATTTTATTCAACATTTTAGGGATTTGAAGACACCAAGGTTTGGGGCTTGGCCTGGTCTTAGAAATTGCTGGAACCAAAAGTCACTTCCACGTCTCCACGTCTGTGATAAGCATCTTTACATATTTGATTTGGTCTCTCCTCTTTGCCAGGTTTTACATGAGGTAGTTTTAAAGTCAACTTAATATTCTTGGGTAATGTTAGATATGTTTTATGATAAAGGCTGCAATAATTGAAACACGCGGGAATGTGGCGAAGAAAAGGAACCTCTGTCCCGACATGCTGAGGGCGGGAACAGGGCTTCCTCGGTGAGGCGGGGATGTAATTACGGTGAACAGTGTGGGCTTTAAAGTCAGAATTTCAAGTCCGATCACGTGCAGGCTCAGTCACTCATTAACCGACATAAACTTGAGTGAGTTTCCTAATCTCTCTAAGCTTTAGTTTGTGCATCTGTAAAAGCGGTTAATAATTGTACACACCACAGGCCTTGATGTGAAGATTAAATTCTATAATAGGCACTTAGCACCGGGCTGATCATAAAGTAAGTATCTCATTAAAAGCTATCATTATTTTTATGTTCGTTATGTTTTTCTGACTTAGAAAGTCGGAAAAGCTGAATCAAGCTGGTGCCTTTGGTTTTCCCTGTAAAGCCCCGTCTGCTTTCATGCCCTGCATTTATATTTATATTTGAAAAGTGACAAACTCCAGACACTATGGATGCCTAAGTATTATCTAAGTGCAAACTCCCAGCTTCCTCGTTCTGTCTAACGGGTCTTCACTGTTATTTGCAGCTTCTGCAACCTGTAGTAACTTACAGGAGCCAGAAGGACGTTAGAGCCACTTACGTATTTGCATCTGTTTGGTCTGATAATGACTTGGAATTAAGACATGTGTCTTCTGAGTCTGCTGATACCCTGCATATCTCACGGGTTTTGTATTAGAATCACAAGAAACAACATAGTTGTCACTTTAACATCTACATTAAATAACACTATAAAGTACATAGAACTATGTCTTTGATACTATGAAGCATATATATTATATACTTCAAATAATATATTTTTTCTCTTACAGTTCTGAAGGGCATACATCTGAAATCTGTTTCATTCTGCTAAAATCTAAATATACTTTAAATATATTAAGGATTTGAGAAAGAAAGTCATATATCACTGAATGGGAATGTGTTTGAACAACTTATATTTTTTAATAATTGGTTGGTTTTTTATTGATTTTTTTTTGTATCTCATTTTTATAGATTTTTAAACATCATTTGCCAAATCTTCAAGCCATTCACTTGGGTTTTTAAGAGGGTTTAGGGGATTTTCGCTCTGGCCAAAATGGAAGAACAGGAACTGGCTTCACACTCAAACCTTAAACAATTAAAATCCGGGTGAAATGTATGAAGGAAAAAAAACACTCTTTCAAACATTGAATGACAGGCGCTCAGGACAGGGTCCCCTACAGAAGAGAAACAAACAGAGTCAGGCTCACAGTCCTCTGTGCTGTCTGCCTGTAGACGGCGGATCCCTTCATGGGGAGCAGTTGAGCAGAAGCAAGGCCAGGACTGGGGAGGGGATTAGCTGCGCAGGGTGACATTTAAGGAGGCAGTCACTTGCAGGGTCTTGCAAGGCAGGGTTGGCCCTGAGCGAGAAGAGCGTGGCGGTCTTCCCAGCTGGGGAGACGGCAATCACCTATTAGGGAGGCTCAAGTGACAGGAATTTGCACAGAGTCCCAAAGGAAGGGGGACTCTGTAGAAAAACAGTTCCAAATATCTGCATTGTCCCCTAGAGTTGTGGACTGATGCCTACATTTCACGTGTGTAGAGAGACTCCCAGAGAGTGACAAGGGAAACGTGACCACGGACTGCACTGGGCTATGGGATGCTTGAGTTCCAACCAATCCACATACAGAAACCTCACTGAACAACCAGATGATCCAGAAGAGACCCAAGACTTACTGTCACTTAAGAGGAGAACCAGTCCAGTTTCAGCAAATTGTCTGCTCCAGACTCACACACACACTGCGTTCTATCCACAGCTTCACTTCACCAAGCCATAGGTATTTCACAGTCAAAAGAGTGGTCTATTTTTTTTTTTTAATTTGGCACCAAATTGTATGTGGAATGTCGATGTTTAAAATAGATGAGAGCAGAGCTGCTCAGCCGAATCAGGGTCCCGCCCTCGGCAGCAAGTCCTGAGACGCCTTGAGCCTCTGCAGGAGAGACTCTGAGCCCAGTGGTCAGTTAACCCCGCACGCCTGTTACTCACAGCACTGCCTACGCCAAATCCAGCCAAACGCTGTGCTCAGCACTTTTCCAAAATTACTGATACAGAAGAGCAAGATTAAAAACATGATGCTCTTCTTTTCTAAATTCTCACAGAAAGGTCAATATTTACATGATATTTCTGGTGCTTATAGATTGTATGTCTCCATTTTTGAAATTAGTAACAACATAGCTGAAGAATCAGAACCAGAGCTCTGGCTTACTTGTGAGTTTGCTAGGAGCATTTTCACACACACACACATACAAAAATCCCTTAGCTAATACATGCCATTAAAATAGTATTTGAGTTATTTCAAGTTCAGGCATTGGCCTCAAAAGTATTTTGTGTTTCAAACAGAACAAAAATTGTCAGTCTGAAAATATTTAAAAATCTAAAAATATCTGTCTATACTTGCACCAGGTAAATAGAACATATTTAAAAATAGCTTTCAAATAACAACTTCTGTTTCAACTGGATCAGTGTCAAGAGGTTTCCTTCACCAGCTGTTCCAGATGTAGCCCCATTTTCTGCTCTGCTCTGATCCGCTAGCAGGCTCTGTGAAATTGGATAGAACCTGCAGACTTTGCACCTCTCTCTTTATCTGTCTTGTATCAGCTGGTAGACAACACTCCTACCAGCAAATCTGCTGTGGTTCCAAAAAATAAAAACAAAAAATGTATTCAACTGGTCATGTTTTTCTCCTAGCAGGACACACAGCATAAGAACTTCCATGGGAAATCCATGTAGGAAATCGTTTAACATTTTTTGTTAGATTAAGTGTATCCTCATGGGAAGATACAGTTTCCTTCCACTTCTGTTGCAAAATCTAAGCTTTGGGAGAAAGAATATCTATTGCCTGTGTATTAATTTTTATTTTAGATGGAAATTTAGATTCTAGCAATGTGAAAATTCAATTATAATCGCATTCTAAAGATCCCAGACTGAAATGATGTGATGGGCAATGGCTGCTTCTTTCGCTACCAATTCCTTGGAATAGAATTTTATAAATATTTCTTTGCTAATTGCCTGGAAGGCCAAGGATGAGCAAGAATAGATATTTGGTTGGTGAAAGTGGTGCCAAGTGTTTCACAAAGAGCAAAATGTTATGTGTGAGTCGTCACACCTCCTATCAAAGGGACATTGTCCTAAGCTGCGATCCTTTTGACAAGGGACCACGTTCCATTCATTTCAATATCCTCGGCCACCAGTACAAACCTGCTGTGTATAAGGGTTCAATCATCATTTAATTAAAACCTCTTACTTTATGAAAAGGATGACTTTCTCTTCTTACGACTTACATTCATATTAGCAGGAATCATAGTAACAGGAACATGAAACTTCAGAATTAAATAACTGTTGATGCGCTGTACGCGTTAGACAGACTTGCAAAGTAGCCGTTACAATAATCCCAGCTTTCTTATTTGGTAGCAATGGTAACAGTCGCGCCATTGTTCTTTCTTGGCCCTGAGTCATCTTTCATGCTGCTGCCCATGCCTCAGTCATTGCAGAATCTCAGTGCCCCAGGACTGTGCTGTTTTATGTATTTGTCCTAGGGTAGAGTACACAGTTGTCCATGTGACAGGAAAATTGATGGAGAAATTAATTTGTGAATTAATAGATTATTCTCCTCACTGTAGAAGCACTGGACAGAATGAATTGTGCAGGCTTTGAGTGCAGGATAGATCGAGGAATTTTGCTTTCAAAAAGACTTGAACCGTTCAAGGGCTTTGAGATCGAAGAGACCAAATCAGCCTAAAACCAGAAGTAGTTTCCCTGACGGGGAGGAAGGAACAAGTGACTGGGGGCAAGAGATGAGAGAAACAGGTCTCTGGAGAAGCTCAAAGCGCCACGTTCCGCGCAGCTGCAAGAGGTGAAGGATCTGAGCTGGTGGGAGGGGCAATGATGGCCCCTGGTCCCATGCTGAGCACTTGGGGTGGCGCCACCGCCGTTCAAAGGACCAGAGGGCTGGAGAAGCATGAATCTAAAGCCTCACCCCTATTTACAGGCATCCCCCAGATGCCTGTGGAATGAGGCGTGAGACCCATAAGTCATCCCTAAGATTGAACTTCCTGTCACGGTGGAGTTCAAGAGTTGGATTTAGTATGAGGTTTTTTTTTTTTAAGTAATGTGATCTTTTTTATACTCAAATTTGTATATTTCCTGATTTAATTTCAGTCTGTATTTATCAGGAAAAACCATTGAGTAAAGTATACAAGAAATAGTTGGTGATTCTCATTTATTCATTCATTCATTCAACAAAAATATAGAACTAAATACTATGTGTCAGTACCGTCTTATTTTATATGTATTTTTTCTCCCAGTTTCATTGAGATACAGTTGACACACAGCACTGTATGTGTTTAAGGAGTAGAGCATAATGATTTGACTTATGTTCATCATGGAGTGATTACTGAACATCCATCTTTTCAAACAGATACAAAATGAGAGGAAAAGAATTGTTTTTCCTTGTGATGAGAACTCTTAAGATTTGCTCTCTTAACAATTTTCGTATATAATGTACAGCAGTGTTAATAATTAATTTTATCATGTTGTACATTATATCCGTAGTACTTATTTATCTTAATAACTGGAAGTTTGTACCTTTTGACCACCATTTGACCCTCTTCCCCATCCCCTGCCTCTGGCAACAACAAATCTGATATCTTTTTCTAGTACTTTGTCTGTTTGCTTTCAGGTATAATTGGCCTACAACACTGTGTTAGCTCCTGGTGCACAGCATGGTGATTTGATAGTTGTGTACATGTTACAGTGACCACCACGATAAGTCTCGTTATAATCTGGTCCCCATCCAGAGATATCGCATAGTTACCGAGTCTGTTACTCACACCGTACATTTGATACCCGTGACTCCTTTATTTTGTAACTGTACCTCTTAGTCCCCCTTACCCATTTCTCTCATCCCCCCACTCCCCTCCCCATTTTAGCACTGTTTTAGTTGATAGAAATACAGCTATAAAACTGTCTGCCCTTACAGAGCATACATTGTAGTAAACAAGTACATATCATATATGTACAAAAACAAACATTTACTGTCATGTCAGGTAGAGACATGTGACATGAAAAAATACAGCAGAGTAAGGATACAGAAACTGATGTGGGAATGGCTGGGAGAGGTGCTGCTGTGACCACTGCAGACTTCTGGACATACAGACATAAGTGGGGAGCAAGTGAGGAGAGGGTCTGCTGGAAGCGTGTCACCCCTGGCGAAGCAAACAGAAAATATTCGGGAAAAACAGACTGAACAAGTGTGGCTCATGTGAGCAACAAGGAAGAAACGTGGTATCTGGAACAAACTCGTTAACAGGAAACATACAGGATGTAAGTTTGCAGAGTCAGGCAGAGGCCAAGCCCCACAGGTCTCACAGGTCAGGGCGCCATTTTGGATTTCATTCTGAGTTCAGTGGAAAGTCGCGTGGACATGGCATTAAAGATACGCAGGAGCAGAAGCCGGGGAACCAGCTCAGAAGCCAGTGCATAATCGAAGCTAAAAATGATGGTGGGAGGTAGCATGAAAGAACTTCGATGTGCAATGGAAGTGGAGGATATAAAATGGAAAATCTCATGCGAGTGCTCTTAGGAAAACAGAACTTAAGGACTGGGATCTGATTTCCTGTAAATGCCTGATTTATAGAAAACTGATAATATGGACATTTTCTTAAATGATAGGGAGTTGATCAGGGATTGCCTCATATCAACCTCGGGAAATTCTGCTTCTGGTTTCCAGGGGCGTGAACAAGAAGTGACCCACGTAGGGCTGGTCTTGCAAAATAAGCTGAATTGAGCCTTGTGTGTATGACTGGACTGGTTTTGTCTGCTCGGGAAATTTTCAAAGCTGGCCTCTGTTTGTTTTTGATGTTAATAGACTCTAACTGAACTCTCCCTTCTTTCCATTCCCTGCCGGTAAATACTGCCTACACCCAAAGCCTCAGCAGACTCGCCTGTGGCTTGCTACAGTTATTAGATGTAATTTCTCTGCTAGTTTCAAATAATTCAGCTTTTGACAATTTTGAGCCTGCCTTATTTTACCCTTTTATTTAGGTCAAAGGTAGCAGTGGAGGCGGGGGAAACTAGACGGGTTGGAATGTATTTTGAAAACCGAGATGACAGAACTTGCTATTGGATTAGCTGTGGAGGGTGAGGGAGAGGGTGAATTCTAAGTCTCTGATCTGCACGACTATGAGCAAAGATGGTGTTTGCCGAGGCGGAGAAGACTGGGGCGAGAACTGGTGACAGGGCAGAAGCGGGGGTTCTCCTTTGGAAGAGATGCCTATTACAGGACATGACAAGTAGGCAGGTGGATGTACAAGAAAGAACCGGGGAGGTCAGGGCATTTAGGTCCATGAGGAGGGAACCCAGGGCTTGAGCAAAGAAATAAAGCCCCGCCCTCTGCCTGCATTACGCAGGAAGAATTCTTAGTCTTACATGTTTAAGTGATTGAAGAAAAATCAAAGGAAAGAATAATATTTTGTGACCCTGAAAATTACATAAAATTCAGTTTCATTGTTTATAAATGAGGTTACATCACAACACAACATTCTCAGCCTTGCCTGGCTGTCCCCACACTACAGTGAGGGAGTCAAATCAGGTTAACAAAGACCGTGCAAGCCCT